TTTGCTCTTGTAAGTTTGTTGCGCGTCTCTAGTACACCGAATAGCAATGCTCGTATTTTGCTTCGCTTCACTGTCGGGCTCAGCGTGGTTAAGAACCTTGGTGCAGAGTTCACACTCCAGCCGCACCTTTTCCCATAATGTTTTCACCTCGTCCAGACGGATCTTTAGCGAAAACAGAGAAACCTGCACGGAGGATGGAGCATTGATTCGGGCCCCGAATTCGCTGAGACGGTCCGATGCCGCGATAAAATCGCCTAACGCTGTTTTCTTGGACTCAGTCATTTTTTGTCCTACGTTGCGAGTAACGCGCGACTGTGGGTTATCTTGAGATTTTGAAGAGGACGGAAGAGGCTTGGTTTCTTTCTTTGTCGAACCTGAAGGGACCTTTGCGACGGATGACGCTGGAGTTTTTGGACTCGGCGACGGTCGAGAGCTTGGAACTGTTAGACGTTTCTTAGCGTCATGATAACTGGACATAATAAACTCTCCAAGAGCTGTGTAGGAGAGGGGAACGACGGAACGGAAATGATTGCTTCAGGTGGTCGATCGATTCGACTTGGCACCCCCGTAAATGTAAATATATATTACTTTGTTTTTATTTACGAAATGTTGGAACGATGGAATGGAACACTGACCGTTTGTGGAAAATTTGTGCAATGCTACAGCACAATTCAAATCTATATATATAAAAGAAAGTCGTGTTTGTTACAACACTTATAACTCGAGAACGGCTGGACCGATTGCCATGGTTTTTGATTTGTTGGATTTGTTTCCGTCCCGAATAGCAGAATACATCTTAAAAACAATGTGTTCGGCTAAGCGCCGGCCCATGGCAGCACAATGAGCAATGAGACCATATGTAACATCTCTTAAATGAAACGTCTCTCTTTATTACCGGTTTGTTTGCTTTGCTTATGCTCTATCTGGTGCTTTGCTCTCTGTCGGCGTTCGACAGCCGCTGTGGGGGAGGCTCGTCAGAGAAAGCAGAAGAGACTTCAGATTCGATCATCACCGTAGTTAAACGTTTTGCTGTCTGGCACAGTGACCTGCCTGCCACAGAGTTCTAAACTAAACCTTACATAAACCTAACAACTTCAACAGTCTTGAACCGGCCCCCGCGTCTTCAATCGACCCATCGTTAACTCTCGTTATCAAATCCGCACACCTTTTGCTAGTTTTGGATAAAACATATATATTAACTTAAGTACAATAAACTGTGAATATATTAACTGAACAATCGTCGTCTCTTAAATAATCTGGCAAAACAACGCTACTGAAGAAGCTCAGTAGCTCAACACAATAAAAACTAGATATGTGTAATGAATACTTAATCATTTCAATAGATGCTGATTTGTTTATTACATGTCAGACATTTGTTGTCCAATCCTGTCAAAAAGTGTAACAACTATTTTTTTTTTTTGGAGCTTATGGCCTGGTTGCTGAGACCTTTAAGCCACAACTTTATTTTTTTCTGAAGACATCATGTGTGCGTTCAGAAATTTATTTTTTTTTAAATGTCTACAAAGTTCAGGTACTGTTATATTTGTTTGTTTTAGACATTAATTTTCGAAAATTATTTATTAATTATTTTATTTTTAATTCCCGAAAATAATACCTAGGATTTATTCTATAGTAAAAACATAAAATCATCGGATGTGAACGGAATTTAGGGAATAAAAAATCAGTTTGGTTGTTTTATGCGAGTGCACATTTTAATAACAATGCCGCGTCCTAGAAGATCTAATATTTCCCAGCGGATCCGTAATGTAATTAGGCAACGGAATATCGCGAGTCAATTATCTGATGGAGAACGAGAAATTGCACGAGAACAGCGCAATGACTCGAGATGTTTTGGTGGTGCAATGATTTTATTATCTGGCGATTTCCGACAAACACTACCAGTTATTCCAAGATCTACTGCTGCCGACGAAATAAACGCTTGCCTCAAAGCATCAAATCTGTGGCGATATGTAAAGAAACTTCAACTGTCTGTAAATATGAGAGTTGCATTGTTGAACGATCTATCTTCTGATGATTTCTCGAAGCAATTGCTGACTATCGGTAATGGCCGTGTTCCTGTTGACAATTTTTGCAATTTCGTATCATCAAAAGACGAGCTTATCAACAAAGTATTCCCGGATATCATTGCTAACCACAAAAATACTAAATGGTTAAGTGAGCGAGCAATTTTGGCCGCTAAAAATAAAGATGTAGATGACTTCAATATTATAATTCAAAATCAAATCGTAGGTACTCTGTATTCATTCAAATCTATCGACTGTGTAACAAACGAAGAAGAAGCCACTAATTATCCAACTGAATTTTTAAACTCCTTGGATGTGCCTGGCTTACCACCGCACAATTTAAAACTTAAAGTTGGCTCGGTAGTCATCATGCTTAGAAATTTAAACCAACCAAAACTGTGTAATGGAACGCGTTTGGTGATAAGAAAACTGATGAGCAATGTGATTAACGCGTCGATACTTAAAGGAAAATTTAAAGATGAGGAAGTTCTTATTCCAAGGATTCCGATGATCCCAACGGATATGCCCTTGAGTTTAAACGAATTCAATTCCCGATTCGTCTTGCCTTCGCCATGACGATCAACAAATCACAGGGCCAATCCTTGACTATTTGTGGCCTCAATCTAGAAAATGCATGTTTTTCTCATGGTCAATTGTACGTGGCATGCTCACGTGTCGGCAAACCATCCGCTTTATTTGTTCTTGCGCCTGACCAAAAAACAAAGAATTTCGTTTACCACAAAGTGCTTGAATGAAAATCCTATTAATGAATTAATCCGAGTTTTATTTTTTTTCCCCCAATTTGCACAACATAGTTTTCAATCATTTTTTTCTGACAAGAGTTTGAAGTACTTAATTATTATTTTTTATTTTTTTTTATTTTTATTCTCATTCTGTATGTATTTTTTCATCATCATTCATCATAATAAAATACTTTTTTGTTTCTATCTATATAAATATATTATTTTGTATCATTGTTTTACGTTCATCAAAGCCTCAATTAGTTCAGCTAAAAAGTAACACGACATTGACTGTTAGGCGGTACGAAGTTTGCCGGGTCAGCTAGAAAAAATAAAAACAAAAAACAAACAATTTCCTTTGTATATTTGTATATTGTATATTTGGAATTATATATATATATTTTTTTTTTTTTGTCGAATGTTGGAAGGGAATTTGCAGTAAATAGCGTGTTCACTTATTTTCTTTTTCAAAATATATAAAAAAAAATATTTTTTTTGTGAAAAATAGTTAAAAGTGTCAAAAACTCTCCGAAAAATGGTATACCCGCTGTTTGCGAGGTATCACCTTCTGATGCACATAACGGAACCCTGCAGTTCTGGCTGTCACGGCATGAAAGTGTCATAGGAAAAATTGTTCGGGCTCGACGTCGACGTCAGCATGAAATTCTGACCAGCTTCAACTGCTGCAGATCGAAGCTGACTCGTAAGAAAGAGAAGCAGATATCCATAGATTTCCCTCTCTCTCATATTTTTAGTTTTCTCTACCTGCATTTGACCCTAACTCTTCTACTCTCGCGCATTTCGTCTCCTCAAAGGGATGAGGGGAGAAAAACCGATTATTTTGTGCAATCTTTTGTTGCGAGCGGCTGTGATTTTTTTGAGTTGAGCGTCTATATACATGTTTATTCCTTTTAAAAGTGTTTTTTTTTAGTGTTTTTAAAGTCAGGTAAGTGGATTCAGTGATTACAGTGCGCGTTGTTAGTTAAATTAAATTTGTACATGGGTTTCGCAAGAACAAATATGTTTAGATTCTAGAACATTCAAGCGGTGTGGTCCCGTTAGCCATGTGCGTCGCTGCGCGTGTTTGTTTTTGCTCGAGGAAACCCATGTAACTGCAAATACAGCATTTTTAATTAAAAACGAGAAGGAACGTGCGAGTCGCTTCTGGGGACGCGACTCTACTTATACCCGTACTCAGTCAGTATATACATTTTTGACCATATGATTTTTTAGAATTTTAAAATTAAAAAAAAATTTTACATTTTACATTTTTTTGCTACATCTGCTATCTACATCTACATATATTATGTATATTCTACATCTAACATGTAGATTATACATGTACCATTTAGATTCTACATCTCCTCCGCTAGGGGTTGCTCGCGCACTGAACGCGGTAGAGTGTGCGAGCGAGAAGGAAAATGAGTTGCACGGTAGTTGCCAGGAGGGGGCAGGGGAAGCAACTGAAAATTAATTTCTTCATTCTGTCTATAATTATGATCCGATCAAATTCAGATTCGGCAGTCTGGTAGATATGGGCATTCTCTGCGATACTGCGTTTTTAGTTTTATCGTATGTGCCTACCACAGATTTTCGTTCTTTGTGTGGACAGAAGGGGGCGGGGCTAAATTTTGAAATACACTTGTAGCAGTGTGATATCACATGAGTCTGGAAACCAAATTTGGTTACCCTAGCTCTTATAGTCTCTGAGATCTAGGCGCTCAACAAGACGGACAGACAGACGGACAGACAGTTATGGCTATATCGACTCGGCTATTGATGATCAAGAATATATATACTTTATGGGGTCGGAAACGTTTCCTTCTCTGCGTTACACACATCCACTTTTACCACAAATCTAATATACCCCTTAACTCTTTTTTGAGTACGGGTATAAATATATGTGAGCAAATTGACTTATTTATTTACAGATCAAAACATTTCTGAAGTTGCTGGAGATGGACCCATTGCCTTAAAAATGTGCTGGACGAAAAAGTAGTCCAGGAGTAACAGTTTAAAATGCCTCAAAGGTCAATCAAATTGCATATGTGTATTGCTTTATAAAAATCAGAACATAACTCAGAAGTTAGTTCAGAAAATATTACCTACCGTGGCTAAATATTTTATTTTTTTTTATAATTTCAGAAGCATTGGTGCTTATTAACCCGATCGAGTCGGTTAAGGAAGGCCCTACAGATAATTAAAAATAATTAAATCAATGAAAAATCTAGAAAACTGGGTAAAATAAATATATTTACTTTTATTTGAATGAAGTGTTTAAAGAAATTGCTGTGCTGGTTACTATGCTTAAAGCAACCAAACAACATTTTACAATGTATCAATGTATTAAGAATGTAGTTTAGAATGCTTTAGTTAGATGCTGTGTTGTTTTGTTCTTATTTTAATGCTTTTATTGGCAGATGTTTTATTTCTAACCTAACCTCAAAATAGTAATCTTTGTTGGAGTAGAAGTAGTAAGATTGCGAGGGGTTGGTCATATTGTCTATGTTGTAGTGTGTGTTATTGTATGTATATTTAAACAGAGTTAACAACTTAAGCGCATATTTGCGCAATTGCGAACTAATTTAATATATTCAGACAGGGTCGATATTTGATCATGATCATTATCATTTGATAATATTTTCCAGACGGTAAGCTACACCTACAAAAAATTCTGTTTCAATTTATAGCTATACTTAAAAGCTTTTTAGAATGATTAAGTTCATTACAACATGTTGTAAGATATTTCAGTTATGTGAAAAACGAGCATTACCCCATGAAAATAATTAAAAATTGTATTTCTTCTACGTAATGAAAATTCTTGCCATAAAATTATCCTGTGGATACATTTTATTTGTTAAGTAACAATAATAAATAAATATAACTATTTTTACTTTAAAAAAATTAAAAACTTTGATTTAGTGCAAATTTTTAATTTTGGACGCGGAGAAAGCGTGTTTGAATCGGTCAGAAAATTAATTCGAAACTCACTAATAATATGAACAGCCCATATCCCAAGTTTCAACTTTCTAGCTTTACCGGGAAGGTTACTGCCAAAAAAACGGGTTTCCGCCCATATGCACTGTACGAAAAGTGTATATTTGGCCTACACCTTATACCACCTGTAATTGAACCGGAGACTGTATTATAAGATCCTTTGGCTTTTCATAACGAATTAATCTATTCTGAAAGGTTTTATGATCTTTGCTGTAGTCCGCATCTACCACAAAGACTTCTACTACCTTTTCTATTGTGTAATGTTCATTTTTTTCAGTGTCAATCAGTAATAAGTGGGCAATTTTAATAAGACCCAACTTTGTTGGGGAAACCGATAAGGAAAACTCGGCATTTTCTCCTGTGTTTAGTTCACCCAGAATGAAATCAGCACACCCCGTATATTGACATTCCGGCGATAGCTTAGTAACTAGTCGAACATGCAATTTCATTGTCTGTTCGGATGTATTTGTTACTCTACAGTTAAAGGTAAATATTGTTCCAATTTTTACTGTATTGATAGCATTAAGGACTTCTAATCGTAGATCCTTACACTCATAGGGCTGTAAAAAAATTATTTGTATATTAAAATATCAAAATGCTTCCTAAATCTTAGTTGAAGACCATACCAAACGCTGCAATTGACTAGTTTGCAATCGGCCTTTTTCCCCGAGATTTGACCTCCAAACGATATCAAGTTTGCCTACATTGCTTAACTGACGAAGAATATGTGTGTCTGTAGCTGACTCTACTTTTGGCTGTGGGCAATATACATACATTTTTATATTTAAAGATGATTATAATATTTCTTTTTACTACTTACTTTTATGCAATAAAGAAACTGACAACTATTGTTAGGTTGTAACATGTTCTTTGTATTAAAAACAGACTCTCCATTAGGCAATGTATTTAAAGGTGTTACTGTATAGTCTTCAGAGCTATCCAATTCTACTTTCTCGAGACAGAAGGGACTGGTGGTAACATTTTGTATTTGAGCCTCCAAGTATATTTCTTCAATTTCGGCATTATAAAATTTCGTTTTTACGTCAAGTGGTTTTAAGACTTGAAACTTAAAAAATTTTCTTAAGGATTGAGCGTATCCCGATGGACTCATATAATTCACCTCGCAAACAAGTCTAAAAACATGAATTTGACATTAATTTAGACATAATGTACTCAATAAAAATGTACATACATATGTGTTCCAATCTCTTTTACTTCATATCGTATAACATCATCAATAGTGTCTCCAGGTGCCAAAATTATAGCAGACTTACTATTTTCATGCAAGGATAAGTTTATACGTGTAGTGTTTGACTGCAGGTCCGTTTTAACGTTAATACATTCAACAGATTGGGGAGAACAATTGTGAACACAAATATAACTAGAAAATGTTTCACCAAGATATATGTTTCCAAATGACTGTGGCAACAACAACACTTGACCTGCCGACAGTGTTTCAGTAATGATCCCAGAAAGAACATCACTATGAGGTTTAAAAGAAAAGCGTTGAACCAAATCTTTGTGTTCACAACTTACAAGTGGCCCAAGTTCAACTAATGTCGGTCGCATCAAACGCATAACTGTAATACATTTTATATCAAAAAAACTTTATTAAATAATTCATGAATTTCACTACTTTTAATGTTTACTTCTTGTGCTTTTTACCTTTTAAAGCCAATAAATGTGCATCAGGTTCTACTGTGTCCATTTTGTACAGAATTTGAAAATATGGAATAAAGATGTTATTGATTATGATTAATATATGTAAGTTGCAAAAAAAAAAAAAGAACGATGTCAATATCGAAATCACACATTCGTTTTAAGGAAAACATCTTAAAATCCGATATTAGTGAATCGATATTTTAGTGTGGCCATATACGTCGACAACGTTCACCGAGACCAAAAATGAACACATTTAATTTAAATTTAATTAATTAATTAATTTAATTTTCTCGCGATGTTTAAAGCGTTTGGCACTATGCTTGGCACGGGATGCGTCGCCATATGCTGCTGCTGATAGTCAGACACATTACAAACAGTTTTTGGATCTGAGTACTAGGCTTTAATAAACTGCACTTCTTCGGCTGGGGTCGCTCTTCCTCAGGCATATCATGGGCTTCCCAATATTTTTTGGCAAGGAAATGTGTCTGACTATCAGCAGCAGCCCATCTGCTGCTCTGACGCCTCCCATGCCGACCACCGTGAAGACAATATATTTTGAAAACAATATTTGTTTTATATTCATGAAAATTAAAAAAAATAATATATTATAATATCTATATAGTTGTGCTTCATATAATGCAGCATTAATTAGATTCTATTTGTCTTCATTCACCTTTACCTTCGACAATGTTGCAGCAGGAAGGAGAATCATATGGATATTATAATGAATTTATGAATATAAAAAAAAATTGTGTTTTCAAAACATGTTTTTGCACGATAGTCGGCGGAGGTTGCACGGGAGGCGTCGCCATCTGCTACGGCTGATAGCCAGACACATTTCTATGGCAAAAATGTGCCTTCTGGACGACGAAAGATAGAATATTTCTATGTTCCGCTCGAGATGTGAAAGTACCATCGGTTGCTTTTCTAGTACCTATCGACTTGTTTTTTTTTCGAAACTGATGACGGGTCGGCGAAGCGACTGCTGCTAAATTTTCGGTCGACCGATTTTAATCATTTCTATACGAATATCATCCATGACTCAGTCGACGGAAAATTTATCGCCTGTGAGTACTAGGCTGATCAAAAGACAGTTATGATTTCTCATCGTTTCTATACGAATATCATCCATGGTTCGGTCGCCAAAATATTTTGCTTTGTACTGTGATTTATACTCACTCAGTTCCGAACACAATCTGTTTTCTAGAGTCTCTACGGTTCACAGTTCACACAAAAAAATTCCGATTATTACTAGAAAAACAGCTGATGGTGTTCGATGGTATTTTGCTAGCCGCTCGAAAAATATAGAATTTGTCTTTATCCCGCCATGGTACCTTGCCCACCTGGTTACACTCGGCCGCTAGAAATATATATAGAAAATATATGGCAAACATTTTTTGGAACTGAGTACTAGATTAAACAAAACCGTAAGCACTTGATTACCTTATATGTATCGATCGCTATCGTTATATAATGGTAAATCGATACATTAAAGCTGGAAAAAAATCGATTCAAACATCGATATAATCGATTCCTTGGTTTTGGTGTAAACATCGATTCTTGTTTTGGAACGTACATATGTACATGTGTTTTAGAGCTGGGAAAAAAATCGATTTTCGCAGAATCGATTTTTTTCGATCTTTTAGACAAAAACATCGATTTAATCGATTAAGTCGAATATAAACACATTTTTTGTTTTAGATCCATTGTTTTTTTTTTTTGATCCAGAACCCACTGGTTCCTGCCTGCAAATAACAATTTGTTTACGTTGCTAGCCTTTAAGGAGGCTCGTCTATCTGATATGAGTATTCCAGCTCAGCTGAACATCCTCTCAGACTTCGTTGAACATGCTGGAATACAAAAATATTGTATAAATATGCTTTAAAAGTTACATTTTATTTTTACCATTTTGCTTCACTCAAGCTCGCGTTAAATTGTGGTAAATTGGAGATGGAATTTTTTTCGAGTGGTCGCAAACAAACATCGATTTCCAAAACAAGAATCGATGTTTACACCAAAACCAAAGAATCAATTATATCGATGTTTGAATCGATTTTTTCCCAGCTCTAATGTGTTTATGCGTGGTATCGAAGTCAGCCCACAACCTTTATTACATTCGCTTATTTAATACCTTAAAATATAAATATAAGTTCCGCAGGTATGTAAACGTATTTTCCAAACACGAATTAAATTTGCATCTGTTCTTACATTTAACTGCTAAGATATTGCATACAAAGGGATGCATACATATGTACATTCATATATACATACATATTTCCGTGTTCAGCCTGCATGCATAGAAACATATGTACGTGCAGTCTTTCTTCAAAATGCAGACAGAATTTAAACTTTGAAAAGTGTACACATGTACATATATACATTTATATGGAATCTCGTTTCAGTAAATAACTTTTAAAGGTGTATTTATCTGCAAATGCTATTGTTCATGTATAGAGATAACACTAGGTAATAAAATATATATTTTTTGTTCACAGAAATTTGGTCTTCAGATATACTCTTTCGTGGCTCCAGATCTGAGAATCTATTTGAAAAACGATTCGATAGTTTATATAGTTTTTATACCATGTACTCAAAAAAAATAATTTATAGTATGTAATAGCCAGAAGACAGCGTTTCCGACCCCATAAAGTATATATTTTCTTGATCAGCATCAATAGCGCCTACAAAAGTGATCAGGTCCAATTAATAGCCGTTTTATTCATATAAAATAATAATAATGTCTGTTATAATAGTTTTTCCATTAGCTCTTAATAGTAAACAAGCGTCGACAATAAGATATTCAGGACTCACTTTATATACATACATTGTATGTACTATTTCCATCAAATTAGTCAAAACATGATAGAGAATTGTTTTATGCCTGGTAACTATAAAAATGATTCAATTCTTCTGGGTCATTCTGGGCTTATAGCATAGTACCCAGCACTGCGGAATAGAAAAATTCCTGTCAAACTTCATGTAAAAAACACTGTGACAGGAATGTTTCGCTTACGTATTCCTGGAGTGTGTATCCAGCAACCTGAGCGAAATCCACAGATTTATATCGATAGTTGCCTATCGGGACCGTGTGTGGACTGAGAGAACAGCTGATACCCAGCTCAGGAATATATACTTTACAATTCTTCCTGAAGTGAATGGTGCAAGATGTAGGCAAAAACTGTCCGCAAAACCAAAAAGGGAGATGAGAATTATTCTTTTTTGTTTTGAAACAATATATGCCGCCACCAACACAATCACTTCATCAGAGTGCATTTTTTTCCTTTTTTAGTTTTAGCAGAATTTTACAGTTGCCTCTGTTTACAAAACACAGCTGATTCATCAACCCTTTTTTAGCTATGTTCCACACACCGTCACGGAATAACCAGAAAATTCCTTGCCGCAATTTTCCGCAGTGCTGGAGACAGGCCTTATAGTTGTAATGCCTACTGTATAGACGGCCATTAGTAAAATTCCGATAGTTAGGTAATCAATTTATATTTGTTTTTATTATTTCGTCTCTGCACGCAACCGTTCCATATTACAAACATAGCCAAATTGACTCCAGTCCGATCACTCGCTGCTCTCTTCGTTTGCTGGTGGTCTCCCACTCTTAGCAATCTCGTAACTAATGCACTCATTAATAGGCTGTTGTCTTCGCACACAAACGCACTAAAACATTAGTGTGACCAGTTTTTTTTCCAATTATATTGTGGTGCTTGTTTTAGCGATCGTTCACACCAGGGGTTTTAGTGCGGCAGCCGAGACGAGCCACACTAAGTTTGGGGCAGCTGACCCTGGGTATGCCCTATTTTTTATTTTGCCAACACCCAAACATGCACTACTCCGTTCCCGTTACCACCATCATCGAATTTCAGCCTCACAGACATTTCAGTCGTGTGCCGTTCCCGCCGTTGGCGAATTTGCACCATCTTCAGTTGTTGTGTTCACTGAGTATAGCCTATACCAAGCAATACTCGCGTTCGGTGGGGTTATTGTGGATTTGTTTCTTATTTTCCACACTTTTTAATGCGCCCAATTAATAAACATGTATTTTTAGGTTAAATTTAACTATGATTTCCGAAGGAGCCACCATAAATAAGGATAGTTCAGTACGTGTTGCTGTAAGGTGAGCGTGAACATGTAACAATAACTCTAAAAAAGTATCCTGTAAATCTAAAATGGTTCTTGTGGCGTATTTTGAAAAAAGATTTTTGTTAGGTAAGGTTAAAGCGGTCACTTCCAAGTGAAAACACCCCATCTAATTTACGTATTTTCTAAGGACCCATGCACCACAGTGCGGTCTGCCCTTCTTGCAGGATTGATCGTAAGGGCGTTATTTGCTGCGGTTTTTATACCCGTACTCAAAAAGAGTTAAGGGGTATGTTAGATTTGTGGTAAAAGTGGATGTGTGTAACGCAGATAAGGAAACGTTTCCGACCCCATAAAGTATATATATGTGGGAATGGGGCATATGAGGGAATGGCAGAGCCCAGCTGATGGCAAGTTATGTGCACGGATGGGTGAGGGACATAGGCCAAAGACGCAGGGCCGCATTCTCGATATCACTCTCTCTCTCGCACGTTTTGCCTCGATGTTATAAAAAAGAAAGAATTGCTGCGGATCGTCGAACGAGAAGAGTCAAGTTTTGTGCCGTGAATGCAAACCGTATAATATTAATTACGAAACTATGTACTATATACTATGTAACCTATCTGTTAAACAAACTTGCGACATTACCCAAAAATAAAAACACATAATTTGTAACCCCTACATATATTCTTGATCAGCATCAATAGCCGAGTCGATAGAGCTATGTCCGTCCGTCCGCCCGTCTGTCCGTCTTGATGAGCGCCTAGATCTCAGAGACCATAAGAGCTAGAGAAACCAAATTTGGTTTCCAGACTCATGTGATATGTATGTGTATTTAAAAAAGATGTAGCAAAAAAAATGTAAAATGTAATTTTGTTTTTTTATTTCCAAAATTCTAAAAAATCATAAGCTCAAAAATTTATATACTGACTGAGTACGGGTATAAGTAGTCGCGTCCCCAGAAGCGACTCACACGTTCCTTCTCGTTTATTTTGTTTTTGTGATACACATTAATGCTCGCTCTGAAAAAAGTCTAAAAGAAGAGCTGTGATACATTCTTTGTTATTATTTTTTATTTTTAGAAAATTCCTGCATTTTGGGTCATTGTTTAATTTAGGAAGCTCAGTTATATACATTTTTGAGTGCCACTGTTGATATGATATGATATGATATATGCCATATGACATTAGACTTTTCTAACTGACTAGTTGGAAAATAAAGAAGGCCTTTTGGGAAATGCCTGTAGTCAGAGCGAGAGAACTATATGCGTCATGTTGGCTGTCCAGCGCTGCGGCAGAATTTATCGAAAATTTAACTTTGCGGATAAAATTTTGCTGGTGTCTGTGTTCTGCTGAAAAACATCATTGTGTGTCAAGTCTATTACACAGACACAATGTTTCTGCGTTATCGATTAATATGGGATGAAGAACAATTCTATCTTTGGAGGAAAAATCTAAGATTGAAGTGACGAATTGAATTGTTGGTTAATGCGGGGAACCACGACCGCTAGTTAGGCTATAGTGTTAATTCATGCCCTCCGCTTATCGCCTTTTCACATAATTATCTATTTGATTAAAATTTTATATTTGTTTCCATTTTTCGGCTTCTGTTTTTAATTCCGCTACATCTGTCTCTTGTCGCTCTGTCTCTCTGTCGCTATGTTCAAAAAATTTAACGCGATAGTTCGGAAAGGGGACGGGCCTGTCCGTAAGAAATGGGGTTCCGAAAAACAAAAGTCTACGGAATTCCAAAGGCCAGGCAGTTGCGAAATAAGTGGGGAACCGACTCCCCCTTTACCTCGTCCCACAACTTCTGCAGACGTCATTATGAGGCTCTGGGTTCTGGAGGTGTGTATGCTAATCTGCCAGTTTCCCGAAATGGCTCTAGTAACTTCAGATAACCACTCTTGTGAGTCTGCATAGCTCGGACAAGTATTTCTTGGTGAGGGTTTGCTCAAATCTCCTGCTTGCATGTCGATCGCTTGAAATTTCATTTTAAAATAACCAAAGAAAATTATACCCGGTCCTTCTCTGCGGGGAAAAACGTGATAGTAGCCAATTTGCAGTAGAGCTTTCTGTCGATGATCAGACCAAGATACTGAACGTTGTTACTAAAATCTAGCGTCTCCCCACCGAGTTTTGGGGTAGCCAGTGTACTTCCTAGTCAAGAGCACTAGTTGCGTTTTCTTACTAAGGTAAAACCTAGCTGTTAATGTGTGTTTCTGTGTGTATGTGATTTGGTATGCATACGGTACATAAACCGTTTACAAATTTGTCGTCGCAACTAGAACTTGAACCAGTTGGACTGCGGAGAGGATTTCCTACGTCGAGCAAATGAGGGTCTGAAGACACGGCGACAGCCTCTGTTGATTGCAGTTGTAGAGAATGAGTGAACAGGCAGTGATGGTACTGTTTCTGATACTGATTTTATTCAAAAAACTTTAATTATATTTATAGGTATTAAAAGGTACAGAAAGTACTGAGTCTAGTAAGAATATGGTAAAAGGGAATTGGAATTAATATTGAATTAATTTGGATTTAATATGATATTGTGTTATTGGGCAATTGTGATAGTCAGCAATTTCACCAGTGTTTTTGCCCTCTGAAGAGCGATCGCATCGTTGGCAGAAATTGCTGCAGAAGCGGTTATTGTTGACTCAGCTACAATGATTTGTCGTTTGTTATTATGTCTCCCGTTACATGGGTCGACCTGACTTATTCCATAAGTGTATATTATGTAATATTAATTACTGCATAAATCTGCGACTGAACATCCTCCCGGCCGTTGAACTGGTGTTCAACCATCGCCCAAGTCGACTAAAAAGCGGCGTGGAATGGGGTTAGGGGGGATGATCCGCGTGGCTCGGCTTGGTTGATTGTTGTCGGCCTAGGGTTCCATGATTGATACTTCTTCCGGCAAATGAACGGAATAATCAATAGCATTGCATATTGCTAGGGCAGCATAAGTAGCGATTTGATGATGCTGCACTGTGTTGAGATGGTGTGGCAGCCTTTGTTGATTGATTGCCACTAATTGCAGGCGTAAATCTTCCAATTCTTGAAGATAGTCTGATGTCTGGTTCTCCAATTGTACAGTTGCTGGCGAAGGGGGTGTCGTTGGTAAGCGTATGTCCCCAAATCGAGTGTAGGTTGATTTGATTTCACTGATTGTTGTATTCTGTATTGCGAGCAGTGCATCCAGGTGATAGTGAGAGTAAGCCAGTTCCTTCCAGTTGTATGGTTGACGGAGACCCGTTGCAAACTGCCTGAAGTCTCATTGTAGAGTGTGTTGCAAAAATCCATTTATTTGCTTGCTGAGTTTTGGACCACACCATGTCCGCCTTCGTGTGGGTCACTTCACATAAAGGTGCTGTTTTATTGTTAAACAACTGAAACTCACAGCGATTGTCGACATTGAAGACTGTTTGATGATCAAAGCAGATGTATTCTGCGTTGAGTAGTTTAAAGCAGCGTTGAAATTCTTCTGGAGTAAATCCCATGAATTGATCTCGGTGAGTGTTCACAGTGATTATGGTCGTTTTTAGATTGAACAAGCTCCAAATTGTTGAGTCCCAGACCGGAATCGGCATGATACTGAAAACTTCGAGCTGAACTGTTGAAACTAACGGTAGTGTCACCTTGAAAATGACGTGTGTGGCAGTCAGTATTCCTTCGGCTCGCATGAGCCTGTATAATTGTATCACATTTTGTGTTGTGACAGGCAGCATTTGATCAGTTGGCAAGTGATCCAGGATTTGGTCTAGTTGCTCTCTTAATTGCTCAGGAGATACAAGCGTTGGGCTTATTGTCCGATGGTGAATGCCGATTAATACATCAGATATGTCAGACTGCATACGTTGAAGACTCGTTGTCAGCAGAGTTAGTTGTGCTGTGAGCCCTAGGTATGACTGAATTAGATGATCGCCGTGATATGTTCCTCTTTCTCGGCTGATGGTTGCCACTTGTTGTTCCAATACCTTGAGGCGGTTGGCCATGGCTGACTTATCCTTCCTGATCACGTTCATTGTGGAGTCGACAATTGACGTTTGATTTCGTAGTAGATGTAACAGAAAGTTTTCGTTGGTTTGTACCTTTTCGATTACTTTGGCCATTTTCTCAGCATATGTAGAGTCAAGTACACCGAAAAGCTGGTGTGCCACGTTTCCTACTATATCCAGCGGTGATCTGCGTTGTCGAGAGGCCTTCATTAGCATATTTCCTGTTTGTAGTTCTTTGTACAAATGTTGAAAGTGTTGAAATATGGAGTTGCACGCTGGAACATTTTTTAGTTCAGGGCACATGTGTCTTAGTTCGGACATATCCTTCCAATATGGATCCAAGTCGTAGTATATAATCATGGTCCAATCGGAAGTGGTCATTCTTGAGGTTCCAAGTTTCTCATAGAATATTCCAGGCTTGTTTGTAAATTGCGTCTCATTTATTGATTGTGAAAATGCTAATGGCAGCATGAGAAGTAACACTAACAATGTGGATGTTAGTGTGGGAAGTAATGATAACCTTTTTCGCTGTGTTGGTGGCTCCTCTGTTTCCGCAATGTCTTGAATAGCATTTTTGGAGCGTTTTGTTGCTACCTCCTCTGAGATCTGATGGACTGATGGAGCTTTTGTATACACCGGACGATGTTTTGACTTCAACCACTATTCCGTAGACCATTGTTTAAAAAATGCATGTTTTAAGCGTGAAACCAATTCCCAGCGCTTAACCAGAGTTTTCTCTTGACGATCAGTGTTGACGTCAGGTGCTGCGGTCAAAGGTTCACCGATCAGGAAACGCCCTGGAGTAAGCGCACTTGTATCCGTTGGATCATTTGACATTGGAGTTATGGGTCGGGAGTTGAGAATTGCTTCAATTTCGGTTATGACTGTGTTCAGCTCCTCAAACGTCAAGGATGCTGTTTCTGTGCTTGTAATTAACAGCCTTTTCGCTGATTTTACCGCAGCTTCCCACAGGCCGCCAAACGATGGGACCCGAGGTGGAATGAATTTAAAATCCACTTGTTTTTTGTTGCAATGATTTG